TATGGTTTTTGTATGGTGTTGGTGGTACTTGAATGACCAAAGTCAGTACATGTCCATCACCTTTCGATATTTCCGTGGTGCTCGCTCCCATTTCATAGCTGCTCACGGTGTTTTCTGCTGACGTCATATGGTGCTGCTCCACTAGCGCCACCATACGGGGTCAGCTGGCGAATTATCCAGTTAATACCAGAGCCCGGCTGAACTGCATACAGGCGTCGGCAACAATCGCGAATGCGGCGCACATGTCACAATAAGCAAAGGTCATTGGTCATTATAGAGTTACGACGTACGGGAATGAGTTATCAGCTGTCTAATCGTAGACAACACAATGTCGAGCCTTAAACTGTAAGCCTGTATTGGTATTGTTTCTTTTATTTGGCTGTCGAACATTATTTATGGTTTGAAATATGATTTTATGTAAAATAATTGATATGAAAAAGCCGTCTCTTAAGTTATGACCCAATTTCACCACACGCAAGTGGCAGAAATGACAATGATCAGCTGACGCATTTTTCTTGGCCGAAGTCAGAGCTCGCGGCCCGACGCACCACCACCGCACCACAAAGTATGAGCAGAAGCCGCGCCCAAAGCCAGGGCCCCGGTAACGTGAGGTAGCCGAGTCGGGGCAGCGTGCGCTGACCCAAGCCGGGGCCGCAGCTTTGGGCGCGGTCTACCGCATCCCCGCGGGCAGCCCCGGGCTATCACATGACACCGGGAGGACGCGCGGCCCCGGCTTGGGTCAGCGCACGCTGCCCCGACTCGGCTACCTCACGTTACCGGGGCCCTGGCTTTGGGCGCGGTCTATCGCACCACCTAACAGGCGTGTTCGAAACCGCAGGAGATGATGATGAACGGGTTTATCGAAACTTGATTGGATGAGCATATCGGTAATAGCGATTTAGTGTGTGCATTTATTGTTACGGAGCGAGCGAAGCGAGCGGAGTCTCATACTGAATTAAGGGAAAATCCTGAGTATGAGCGGCCGGCCGGCCGGCCGGCCGGCCGGCCGGCCGTGGGGACGCTCTTCAAAAGCTAATATCTTAGGAACGGGACATCCGATTGACAAGCGGTCTTCTTTACTGAATGTCACTTGGACGTAAAAGTTCTGTGGTGTGATGGCCACCATGCGTTCTTGCCAACTACCGCACGTGGCGCGTGGTAAAGTTGGACATTTTTTTAAGAACCCCCAAAATTGCAACCTCAATAACGGCACAACGGTTGGGCCGATTGAATTGAAACTCGGTACACAGTTAGGTCTCCATCAGATAATTCATCTGCATGTGTTAAGGTTGGGGTGCTACAGCACGTGCGCACGTGCAGGGGGCGCTCCCAGATCTCGAGAACGACCTGGCCGATTGCGCTCAAATTTGGTACACGGTTGGGGACCAGTTAGTAGGGTGCCGTGCAAAGTTAGTAGGGTGCCGTGTTGGAGGTACCCCCTCGCAATTTCGCACGTGCAAGGCCCATCCTCTCGCTCGCTCCGTTGGTCGCCCAAAACAGTCCCACGCACAAGGGGGAAAAGCTCAAATTATTGAGCGCTCAAAATATTGAGCGTGTGACGTCAGAGGCTCCCATAGGCGTAATGCTGAGGGCTCAAAAAATTGAGCCGTTTCAGGAACACGTTTTGCAAAAGCAACTCGCAACACCTAGGGAGAAATGGCAACACCCTAGGAGAATCACTAATGATGCAAAACAGATTAGGCTTTCATATTTTTCACTGCTCAAGCTTCAATGATTGGGGGAACACCAATTTATAGGTCGAAATCTTACGGCATACCAGGATGACCTAAAAACAGGCCAATATTTATGTCGAAATAAAAGTTATTTTTTGTCCATTCACGTTTTTTACTAGGGTTCTGTTGGAAAGAGCATTTTTCATACTACCCAAAATGATTGCGACTCAGTTTCACATTACCCATATCGGAGAATATTTTTCATTTGGCGGCGCCGTTTGTTTATTTCGTCGCGACGTCTCCGGTCGCGTGGTTGTCGTCGTCCTTGTGTTGAAGGTAAGTTTTTATCGTTTTAGTTATACTTAGATGTTAAAAGGTACCTTGAAAAGTTTGAATATGCTGTGATTTTAAATTTGGAAACACGTAAACGTCAATCAATTCACGTTTTCCTCGATTTGCGTGCAGATAAGTAACTGTCGACGAAAGTGGCGCCATCCGATATGATGTTTTGAAGGAAGGAGACACAACATATTTACGTGAAAATTTTTGTTTTATAGTGGTCTAAGTGCTTCAAAGAGGCTGTGAATGTTTTCTTCACACAATTTTTCATTAGGTATGATGAGGTAAAAGGTAGTTTCAGTCTTAACTTTCATATAATTGACATTAAAACATATGATAGTCCACTGCTATCAGTGATAGAATACCTTGATATTTGGCATTTCTTATTTATTTGAGTGTATTCTCTATCCATATGTCCTGATAGTAAGTGACAATACTCTGCCAATATGTTTCCATAGTTTTCACATTCATTTTCCAGTCCTTTACATAACATCACAATTTATAATCAACAAAACTCAACTCCTTCGTTACTTCACAACACTGACAGCATGACAGACTGACAGTCAACTATTGTGTGTGTGAATGCTGAAACAGGATAGCCACTTTGCTGACTGGCTCATATTAAATAAGATAAAAATGATCCTTTATATCATTTCCATCTGGAGGATCGAAGTCAACGGAAAAGGAAGGCCACTTTTAAGCCTGAAGGTCTAGGCCACCAGACGCCAGTCGGCAGTCACCACCAAATTTATAATAGATTAATTCATTATTATACTTTGGGACCCTTAGGTCACTGGATCGGCATCACATTTTCAGTTTCAATATAGTACAGGTTTTTTATTTGTATGATGTGAAATATTTTCTGAATCAGAATTTAATTATCCCTAGGTACCTGGTAGAGGTTTCGGAGTTAATGCTCATTGTTGGTGTGCAGTCAGGATTTTTTGACAGGTCCAGATAGGGAATCCTGAGGAATTTTATAGTAAAGTGGTCTCCTTATAATCACCACACATTTTATCAAAAGTATTTGCAGAATTCATTCAATGAAGAATTTTATCAATGTTGCACCCATTTCTTAGACGACCTAGGCTGCATCTTTTTTTAGTTCCTGTTGTATGACATATTTTTCATTTTGTTCCACTGCATAAAGAAAAAAATCGTTTGAGATCACCAAACAGCTTTTCTTTTTCTGGCAGGTCTGCACAACCAAGCGGTCGCTGGCGAGGACGTCGGCCGTCCCTGTGGGTAAGATCATCTGCTCAGCCTTTGTGGAGATCAGCAAGACGTCACCAAGATGAAGACTTCGCTGGAGCAGAAGCCGCTGACCCGTGTCCGATCGGGCAGGTCATGCTCGACGGCACGAGCCACAACTTGAACGACTAGGTGACATCAACAACATGGTGGAGCAGGTGAATGAGTTTGGCGACGTGTTGTGTGACTGCAAGAAGGGTTGTCTGCGTGTTCTGGCCGGCGGAGCGGCGACGCTGCGCAGTCTGTGCTGGCGGTGAGCAGCTGGCCGTGGTGACCGCGCGCGCCCACATGCGCCGACAACCTGTGCGGCTTCGACGGCCCCGGGACAGCCCGATGCCGCCCACTATGCGACGCCGACCGCGCACTGTCCGCACGGCCACATGGAGGTGTGCCCGCGCCTTTTGCCCGCACGCCGCTACCTCGCCGCAGCTGGTCTGCAACCACGCCGTCGCCGCCTGTAGCCCGATAACAAAACGGCTGTCTGAAAATGCCGCGTGTTCTTTGAGATGTTGCTACTGTGATGGTTGCTACTGCTGGTCTGAGACTCGATGTTTCCATTCGTCCTTTACATGTTAAGGATTTGATACCTAATGATTAGCTTAGTCCGAGCTTAGGTCGTTTATATCAAAGCAGTACGACACTGCCTCCTGCTTTTGTGATGTATGCTGGCAAGACGCAGGTTCCGGTCGCAGGTCACCCGGTTCCAATGTGGTCGGGCTGGCATGCGATAATGTGATGTTGTTTTGCTCGTCTCTGTGTTCCACACTTGATGATGTTTGTGAATCTAACCCACATTGTATAGTATTTTTGTTTGTTTGCGGCCAATAGCCTTGTAAGTTGTAACCGTGGCAATACAGTTTTTCCTGCTATAATTCTCCAATATTCAAGCGTGGGTGGATATCTTTCTGTATTCACGTATTCCCTTCTCCCAGTACAGTCAGAGAATATCAATACAGTATTCATACGGATTATTCAAGCCCGGTATAATTATTTGAGGTGTGCCGAATCCGAAAGGCGACCGATAAAACTACTAGCGGAAAATGTGACATGATGCCATGGGTTTGTGAAAAGTTTAGGTACCACGTAGCATTCAACTTACTGCATTTCTGTTTCAACTCAGTTTAACGTATTTCAACGAACATAACATCAAAAATGGCAGCCAGTACCGGCTTCACCTGTCACGGAGAACGCTCAAAAAATTGAGTATAGATGCTGGCCGGCACTCAATTTTTTTAGCGCCAGCTGACTGTCGTCTGTCGTGGCGCTCAATTTATTGAGTATCGCGGTCCCGAACGACAAGTGGCGCTCAAAAAGTTGAGCGTCTTTAGGGCATTTTCTTTCCAAAAACACCGATATGAATTATCACGGCGAGTGTTAGAGAAGAAACCTTGTTGCTCTCTCTTGCCATTGATACCTTATTTGGATACGATATTTGCCGTAGTGTGACGCTAACGGCATTGTAAAATACCATCGTTTCGCCTATTCCTTCATAATGGGGCCCGCTCAATTTTTTGAGCGCTCAATTTTTTGAGCTTTTCCCCCTTGTGCGTGGGACTGAAAAGGCGTTTTACTGGTTCATACTGGTGTGAAATGTGGTTGGGGTACGACCGACAACCCGTCGGGGCGAATTTCGCACTGGGGTACTCAAAATTTGAAGAATTTAAGACGTTTCCATGAGTTTTGAAGGTATGGATAAGTTCTAAAAATCCGGTTCTCCTTAGCTGGGTGTGCCCGCGACTCGATATTATTTGGCTGCGGTGATCGCCGTCGTGGCGGCGGCGAGAGTCGGCGCGGCGCTGGGCGAGAGTCGGCGCGGAGCTGGGCGCCGCCGTAATGGGTGATGCCCGATACTGATACACGTGGACCGCGCCAGACAGAAAGAGAGGAAAGAGTATGTTATGATTTAATTGATATTTATGGTTCAGTTATGACCTAAATAATGTATTGTTGTGTTACTACATTCTTTTGTTACTGATTTATATTTATTTATCGTAACTTTGGCTGTGATATTTAGTGTGCTTTTTATGAATGAGCGCCATGATTGTAGTATCTCATGTGTTTACTCGACTGATTGTGTTATTTTTGTGTATTTTCAGTTTTTACGTAACCACCATTGGGCGAACATTAGAATATACCTGTAGTCAGCACTGAATCTTCTTTTGTGAGCCAGAACAGTAAAAATCTTTCTCTCTTTTGCGTGGCAGTAAAAATCTTTCTTTCTTTTGCGTGGCAGTAAAAGTCTTTCCCCTTCGTGGCACAGTGAAATGTTTCTTCCTTGTGGCTCAGTAAAATAGTGAAAAGTAGATTGAATGACAATGACTTTCCATGATGGATGTGCCACATTACTTTGTAGATAGAATATGCCATTCCACAATGCAACTCGTAGATTCTACCTACCTATGTTTCGTAGATTTGGTGTAGTTGATATCTCATGATAATACTGCCCATACTAACTTCATGAATTGAATCCATACATTTTCATCCTTGCCCAATTAACAACTGTCCTGAGTTCTCAACCTGCATTGTCACCATGGCTGATTCGGAGAAGGGTACTGATGACTGTGGGCCAGAGACGAGGTCATCACATGAATTACGGCTGACTGAGAAAGGTAGAGAGTACCAAACCACCATGAAGGTCAAAGTGTTCAAGCAGGTGTTGGGAAAACTGGAAAAGGAAGGCACGTCCCTGGTTGATGACCTCACAAGCCAAGATGACGATGAGCAGGATGAAGAAAAAATGACCAAGAGGATTGCCAAATGGAGGCACAACTATGTGATGCTTCGTCAGACCCATGAAGATCTGCGCTCCTTGTTGGGAGCTGAATTTGAAGCTCACAGATTGATGTATGAAGACAGACTCATCAAACTGGACACCACAAGAGCAATGATTGAGTCGTTGACGCCACAAGAACCGACGTGCAAACAGAACAAGAAGAGTCAGGGAGCACGCTCGTCGGTAACCCAGACAAGCAGATCATCTTCGAGTACTGGCATGAAAGCCCAGCTTTTCATGATGAAGGTTCAAGAGAACACTCAGGCAGCTGAGATGAAAGCAAAAGCTGATGCACTGGAAGAAAGACAGGAATTGGAAAGGGAGATGAAGCTCATGGAGTCCAAGATGCAAGACTGAAGTGGAAAGAAGAAAAGCATCAAATAGAAACAGAAAGAAGGATCCATAAAGCAAAAGAAGAGGTGATTGAAAGGATGGAGCAGCAAGTTGAATCGTTGATGATGTCACCAAGACAGCAGGCGGTTGACATGATGGAGATGGAGTCACATGGGACGAAACGGGTGGACACTGATGCACAACCTACTGACTGTCATGAAGCTGTTAATGACATGACTGATTATGCTGTGCCACCGCCTACTGTACCCATTTCTGCCCATTGTCAGGCTCCTGCCCCTGCTCACCCTCAGTCCACTGAGTCTGCTCCAACACAAGTTACTGCTGCTACTCTGGCTGACATTCTTTCCGTTCAGGCGCAGAGATGTCAGCTACCTCCTACGGAACCAGGTGTGTTCAAAGGCGATCACACCACCTTCCGCATCTGGCTGAACGCCTTCGAGACGTACATTGAGACCAGATGCTCTTCATCCAGCGAAAGGCTACACTACCTGGGCTACTACACAGCTGGAGAAGCAAGGAACGCGATCACTGGCTTCCTGCAGATGGGAACGGCTGATGCCTACCAGCAAGCCAAGAAGCGCCTCACTGACAGGTATGGCAATGCATTTGTCACCATGAATGAGATGACGAGGCGCCTTCAGAGATGGCCAGATGTGCGAGCTGGTGATAGTAAGTCATTCACTGAGCTTTCAGACTTTCTAGAGCTTTGTCTGGCCAGTTCGAATGCAATGGGTGATGTGAAGATGTTTGGTGGTCCATCAGAGATTGATGCCATCCTCAAGAAGTTGCCCAGATACCTGTCTGACAGCTGGAGAAGAATCGTTGACAGGTGGATCTATGAACCCGAAGAAGGTGCTGTCTCGCAGTACCCACCGTTCGCACACTTTGTGCAGTTCATGAGCAGAGAGGCCAGGGTGGCCTCTGGTCCAGTGCTACCCAGAAGTGGTGAGGAAGACAAGCGAGTGCAACCGAAGCAAAGAAATGCACGAGTTCTCCTCACTTCTGCACCAACCGATCAGAAGCCTCAAGACAGCAGAGCAAGCGGCCGGGTGAATCAGCAGCACCACTGTGTGGCATGCAAGAATGATCATCCGCTGGACCGTTGCTCGACATTCACCAAGATGTCCCTGAAGGGCAGACAGGAGCTGGTCCGACAGCATGGTCTCTGCGGAGGGTGCCTAAGGAAGGGGCACAGATGGAAGGAGTGTCGAAGGAAACAGCGATGCACAAAGTGTAGCAGGCTGCACCCTACCCTGCTCCATGACGATTCTCTTTCCCTCAGAGTGGACAAGACAACAACCCAAGGCACCCAGACTAGTGCTGCGGTATCCCTCCATGTGTCCTGTGACAAGGTAGCTGAGTCTCCCAAGTGTACTCACTCCATGCTGGTACCTGTGAACCTGACACACCGAGATCTTCCCCACAGAAGCATGACCGTGTACGCACTGCTCGATCCTCAATCTGACACATGTTTTGTGAAGGAGTCGGTGCTACAGGAGTTGGATCTGCGCGGTGAGGACGTCACCCTCGAGGTGAGCACGATCGCAGGCAGGACCAGGACACAGAGCCAGGTCGTACATGGTCTGGTGGTGAAGGATCACAAGGGCGAGACAGAGTTCGAGCTACCTCCTACGTACTCCAAGGCGGACATCCCTGCTGAGCGCCAACTGATCCCGAGACGCGACACAACAGCTGAATGGCCCCATCTGCAGGAGGTGGCCGGACAGCTGCCGGAGTACGTCTCCGACGCTGAAGTGGGAATACTGATCGGCATCAACTGCCCCAGAGCTCTGAAGCCACTCGAAGTGGTCACCGGTGGCGACAATGACCCCTGGGCGATTCGCACCAGCCTCGGATGGAGTGTGATCGGATTCATGGGCCAGCCATCGAACGGTGCCGGTGCAGCGTGTCTCTACGTGACTGGTCGAGCCGAACAGGAGGGAGTTCGACACTTCGCGTTCCGAGTCCGTGCTCGTGAGGTACAGTCACCAGCAGTTGCTACCCATCACCCCCGGACGGCGGGGGAGCAAGCTACCACCGCCCCTGCGAGACTAGCGCCGCCATGCGCCAAGAAGTGGAAACACCACGTGACTGAGGCCACGTGAGGGCAGGGTCACGTGATGGAGGGGCGGAGCATAGTAGCTTTTGCACCCGACACTAACTGAAATGCGGCGCTGTGATTGGGCGCCTTAGCATGAATGAAGCCCCGGCGCCAGAATCAGCCGTTCGCCTTATATGGAAAGTGAGTCTTTGCGTTTCACTGTTCTGTATTGGTTTGAGAGCCACGACACCATACGAATTGTGAGCCCCTTTGAACGGGTCACCGCCCGAGGCACCGAGGCGACGGCTGTGCCGGGCAAAGTCTAGCCTGGTGGGAGAGGTGGGCCAGGGAAAGTGCGATCGAGCAGCCACTGGGACGTGGATTGGTATTATCCAACCGCGACAAACGATGTCAGCAGCCTCTTCTCGTGTCATAGACAGTGTCTATGACACGAAAAGCTAGACAGACAACGTGGGCAGTGCCCAATCAAAAGCTACTAAACGATCCAGTTAAGAAGTTGACGAGGTAGCCAGACCAAATATTTAAAAAGTTTTTAATTCGATTTTGGTTGACAAATGACATACAAGCCCGCTGTGATGGACCACAAAAGGAGCTGAACAGCTCATACAACTTCTAAAAAACTCAACGGTTTAAAAATTCAAAAGTTAAATGTTAAAATTCAGCATGCATGTTTAAACTCTGGTCCGGCGCTGGCAGGAAGCTTATATTGCCTTTTGCAATTCCACTACGTTGTAATATTACCAATAGTTCTGTGAGAGCAGCAACTAAAAGCCCCGTTGAGGGGGGGGGAGGGCGGCGCGAAATGGCCCCCTCTCGCCTTTCAGTCGATATCTCCTAAAGTATAGCAAATGTCGCCACCAAACTTTGAAGACCCCTCCGGGCATCATTTTTTACACCTTGTGACTAAATTTTTCCAGAGCTCTTATGAAAGGTTAGTCACAAATGACGTCAGAGGGATGTCATGTTCTGTCATTTTTGACCCAATAAAAGGTTTAGCGGGAAGAGCTGTCACGCTTACAGTTTTGAAGATAACGAAAAATATTCAAAATCAAAAAGATGTAAAATAAACAGCGCTACCAAACTGCTAACTCTTATTTCCAAACAAAAATTGATTTTGACCATCAAAACTATAGAAGTAAACACCCCGAAAATACCAACAACTTTCAAAATTAAAACTGAAATATATGTTATAGAACTATCTGCTCTAGACATGCCAAACCTAAACTCGTTAGCTCCATTTTTAGCAAAGTTACGGCCAAAAAAAAAAACTACTCGAAATTTATTACGTAAATTTTTTCAAATTCAATTTTTAGCCGTCACAGAACACACAGAGCAAGCCAAAGACCACCATTCGATTTCCTGTGATGAGCTGCATCGAATAGATACCCCTTTTATGCAAAATATCAACGTTCAAATTTGACCTTCTTTGACCTGACCTTGACCTGACCTTCACCAGAATGCAATCTAAAATGGCCCCAATGGCCGTTTAGCCCACACCATTGAATTATAAATGTAAAATTGACCATAAAACATGCATCACACGACCCTAGCATAGTTGGGTTCATATTGTAACCCTTAGTGACCTGACCTCTGTGAACTGACCTGGCATCAATGACCTCTTTAGGCAACATATGTATTAGACAACCAGCGCTCCATCGATGTTTTTCGATTACATGCCTTTTATTTGATGTGTTAACTGACTGTAACGCATTCCTTAGACTAAATCGGTGAAAAAATGCGACCTTTGACCTGACTTGTGACGTCATGGGTTGCACCTAGGTCAACAAAACCTGGTAGCAAGGTAGTTCCCTGGTGGGGCTATCGAACGCTCTTTGAATGTTCAAAATCGGTCGGTAACTTTCCGAGATCTCAGGTGGAAGGCCAAACGGCTGCACCACCCCATCAGGTGGTAGGGTCCGCCAATAGCCCAAGGGGCGCGGATTATTTATTCACTCATATAGTG